CTAATATGTCTAATCCGCCTGCAAGAGCTAAATGGCGATAGTATTAAGGTAGAGTTCCCTATTTAGGATGCAGCTTCCAGGGCAAATAGGAAAGCAGTACAACTCGTAGGTAAGATCTGGCTTCAAGTATCTAAGATAAACTATGCTTTAATGGGTAGCATAGATGTGCCGAAACTCTCACCTCCCAGTGGTGATCCCCGGGCAACGGCTTCGGCCGGCTAAGAAGAGTTTAAGGTTTTGGGCTACTAACTCGGCGACGAGTTTCTAAGAGATGGTGCAGAGGTTGGCTGGAAGATTAGCTCTTCACTCAATAACTGGTTACTACCGAGGAAATATATGAATGAATGGTTTTTAAGTAGGTTGAAGGTAGTAATCTAGCGAGTGCATGGTAGATTACTCTGCCATGTCAGTGCAATACCGGAGACCTATATATCTCGAAGAAAAGTAGTTCACTGGTGTTGGCAACCAGGAAAGTAGGGAGAATCCGAAGCAAGTACGGTTGTTTTTAACATCCGCCCAAAGTATGCCAAAGGCTTTGTAAAACAAACTGGGAGCCACGGGGGTCAGGAGGCTCGCCTCACAAAGCCACGTATGCCTGCGGATGTATGATGGACTTTTTGTCTTAAAGTCGTAATGAATAAATTAATTTTTACTATTAATGCAAAAAGGAATTGACGGACGGCCTTCCCTTTGGCCGATTAATAGAAACCCTCTTGTAAGTTAATTTAATACATGCAAAAATGAAAAAAGGGATTTGACGGAAGGTTTTTCCCCTTTTGCCTATTTTTACTTGTGAAGATATGTCACGGATGCCTGCGGGTAATGGTGGTAATTGATCAACAGCACAGTGGAAGCCTTATGGCGGAAGCAAGCGTTGATCAATTTGTGAGTCCTGACTGCTTGGGTGCGGCCCTTCGGGGAGTACTCGTGGTGGTTGTGGTTGGCGAGTTCCTAGCTAAAATGTAACAATTTGAGCGCAGCTAGGCCCCACCATTGACCAGAGTGGGGTTTATTGTTCCATACACAATAAACCGTTCTGGACTCTGGTGCTGTTTTGGGCCCCTACTCTGTGGGGATTGTCTAACTCGCCAGGGGGCGTAGTACGCTTAAAGTGGCTTGGGCCACCGTGGGGTTAAGCCTTTCAGGCAGGAACCCACGTTAAACCCTTACCACAATTCACGTACCTAATTTCTCGTTTTCGTGATCTTAGAATCGAATTAGATTGCATTGAGCCAAAAAGGAAAAGTAATTTTAAATGGGTTACTAGAACCACATTTTATATATGTGTGTCGTTGAACGTTAAAGTCCAAATTTACCTAATTTTATTGCTATTTGGGTTACTCTTTGGGGTTTAGATCTTATGATCAGCTACAATCAATGTTTTTATCAGATTGTTACTCTTCTTCGTCTTGCATATATAGTTATGTACAATTATTTGAAGTTCAATTTTATTTTTCGTGTGTTCTAAAATTTTCGCATTGAAAATTGTTTAAGCAGAAAATTAACTAAAGAAATAAAACTAAAGCTAAACTAAAGTTATTGATAACGATATATTATGAAGACTTTGCTCTCTTTGCCGCCGCATACGCACACACACACACACACATAAAAATGCTATTAAAGTGTTATGATAATCCATAATACTTAGCAACCCATAACCAATGAAGGTCGAATAACTGAAGAATAAAGCAAAGTCTTGAATAAGCAAACTTTTTCCACTAAACTAACACAATTACATAAAAGTTTGCCACGCAAGAAAATACTTCATTAATGTTAGTACTCAGTGTGGAATGTTGAGACGAAATGATTTTTGTAAAGTATTTTTTTTTTTTTTAACTTCTAGCTGTGGAAGAAAGAAGAAACCTCTGCTTTAGATCTATGATTATATATATATATATATATATATATATAGTAAATGTTATAACATTGGTAAAACTATCTAACCGTCACGGTAGAGTGAAGAGAAGAAAACGAAACGGAAAATTGTCATAAAATTGTTTCCGATTTCATCGCAAAAACGCAAACACATTTTCTTAGTTAAAGGATAGGATGTGTCAGTGTAGATGGAATACACTTAATAAGTTTTCGGCTTTAGCCTAAATATATAATAAAGTTTTTTATGTTGTCAAAAAAAAAAAAATAAAAAAAGTGAAAAAAAAAAATTAAAATAAATAAATAAATAAATAAAAATGTTGAGACCATATTAACCATTTAAAGTTGTTTGCTCGCTTACTTGCTTGGCATCACATATGCTTGCTTGCTTGTTTGCTTGCTTGTTTGTTTCCTTGGTTGCTTACTTGGTTGCTTGCTTCCCCAATATATCAACATAAGCAGAGAGCACATATATATATAGTAGTATAAAGTGATAAAATAATAAATAATATTTATGTTGTTTGATAAAGAATTTATGCTGTTATACATACACTGGAAGCGAATAAGGAAAAGGAAACTCTCGCATACCACTTACTAACCATTTACATGCATATTATAACAAAAAAAGCAAACAAATAAGAAATAAAAAGTAAAAGCGCTTACATTCCTTAACTAAAGCAGGAAACATTGTGAAGTAGAGCACAAACAAACAAACTTTAACGGAAGTCAAATATAAAACAACGACTGGCTTATAAAGCGATAAAGAAGCTTGTTTCCTGAAGAGTAGAGCCAGCCGCCCATTTACATCGACGCATAGTAGGAGTGACAGAGAGCAAAAGACTACCGATATAAATCCTGCACATTTTTACATGTAGGCATGCATGAGTGAATGCATGGGCTTAACATCCATTGGCAACTTAAGTACGTCGAATAACGTATAAAATATATTTCGTGTAAAACAAACGGAATATAAAAATTCCAAAGTGACACAGGAAAGTTTGTATAACAACTACAAATTATATAAAAATAAATAAAATGAAAACAACATGAAGAGAGAAAGAGATATAGAATAAGCACTGCTCAGTAATATATATATGTATGTATGTATATATATGAAAACGCTATGCTTTGTGACGAATTCCGGTTTCCTACTTCATTAAAAATTGCAAA